AAAAAAAAATGTCCGGGTTTTAGCTGTAAAATCCGGGGATTTAAAACTCAATGTCCTAGGTTAGTGATTTTACAGATGGCAACCCTACATATATTAGAAGAGTGGTTGAATGTCGCATAAATTGATGAAGTACAAGATGATAATTTTGAAGCACTAAATTCGAAATAAATCACAACAGAATTAATCCGCACATAAATTACGTAAAGTAATAATATAGGATGAGGAGTAAAAAAGAAAAACAATTTATGTTGTGATATATCGACGCAATAATAACATTTTTATGAAAAGATACATGTACATATATATATAAGAGTCCCATTTATGTATATACATAAAATACAATACACTTTGTTGTCGAGTTTTCTTTTTGCGTCGCACATTTTCGTTAATATATATATTTTATTTTTTTACTAATTATAAATCCAATGGCATATACAGTTTTTTTTTACGACAATGATTCACGTGTTAAAATAGCATTTTACGCATGATCACAATAATATATAATTTTTATTTATATATAAAAATATTTAATATTATCAAGAATTCTTTATATATTGCAGCATATATATATATATATATATATATATATGTAAAACCGCGTTGGTTGTTTTCTTGGAATGATTACATTATTTATAATTTTTATTTATACACCACTGAATGACTGCTATATGTGGCAGATAACTTTTGTTACATAAATGTTATATAGTTTGTAGTTCATGAGCTAATATCAGATCATTATAAATTATAATGAACGATAACGATTTTCAATATGTTGTAATATATTCTTACTTGTTACAAATCGTTATGTATATACATATATACATATATGATTTATAAGTAATTTGTAACGAATAAGAATATATAAAAACGCATGTAAAAAATATATATATATATATAATACTAGGTTTGATAAAAAAATAAGCGGACTTTTTGAATTACTTGGCATTTTAACGTCCTAACGACGTACGGCTTGCAGCACTACAATCTTCCGAGTAACTGGCTTTTTTCAAATTGTTTACGTCTCGTTTAATTTCAGAGTTATTGCTATTTGAATACATAGAAAAAAAGATTTCTTTGGATGTAATAAATTTTATTGTATCCAAATAAATTTGTTATTTGGAATGGTTCAAACAAACCAATGTTTGAATCAATAAATGCGATTGTTTGAATTTGAAACAATGTATATCTTTGTCTTAAATACATTCTTTGTTTGAACAGATAATATCTATTTTCAGTATTCGCGTGATCAACTGTACGGCACAAACATAATTGATGTAGCACATAGCACTGCTCGTTTAATTCT